ACCCTGCGGGAGACCAGGGACACGCGTCAGAGCTGCTGGCCCCAGTGAGCTCCCGGGCCCCGGGGGCTACCCGATGGGGCGCGCCCCGGGGACTTGGGCACCTGGACTAGACCCCGGGCCTGGCACTGATCGCGGCCGCCAATCCCAGCCGCAGAATGGGACCTGGACTTGGAGCGGGCCCAACGGGGACCTAACCCGGCTGAGGCTCCCAGAAGGACGGGACCAATCGCGTGCGCTGCAGACGCCCGCAAGTATCGGGAGGGGCGCTCATGGACCAGACGAGAGCAGATTAATGTCCAATGGCCTCGCTGTGCCAGGTGCGATGGCGCATGTCTGTCATCCCAGCGGCTCGGGAGGCTGAGGCGGGAGGATCACGAGTTCAAGGCCAGCCTCAGCAACTTAGCGAGGCCCTTAGCAATTGAGCAAGACCCTGTCTGTCAATTAAAAATCTTTCAAAGGGTCTGGGGACATGGCTCAGTGGTTGAGTGTCCCTGCGTTCAATCCCCGGTACCAAGACATTTTTTAAAATAAAAATTAAGATTTAAAAAGGGCTGAGGATGGGGCTCAGTGGTTAAGCACCCCTGGGTTCAATCCTTGGTGCAAAAAAATAAAATAAAAGATATTTCAACTTCCAATGGGCTTTTCCGGCTGCAACTCCAGCCTAAATCAATGAGCAGCGCACAGGGACTGGTGGGGACTGCGTGCACGCATGCGCGCTGGGACCTACGAGCATGCGCAGTGGGTCGCATGGGCCTCTGCTGGAGGCCAAGAAGAGGGTGGGGCTCCTAAAATTCTGAGGCGGGAGGGATGAGGGATGGCAGGAAGGGTGGGTGGAGACCCCAGGGGTCTCAGTGTATCCTCAAGACCTGCCCTTGTCACTCACTGGACAAAGCGTGAGCTAAGGAGCAAGGCCACCCATGCCCCAGGGTCCAGTCCCTGTTGCCAGCAGGTACACGCAGGCGCTCTGGGTCCCCATAGCTGGGGGTGCAGCGGTGGGGTTGGCTCTGTCCACTTACCTGGTCCAGGTCATAGAGTAACTGCAGAGGACTCTTCTTCTCCCCTCTGAGCCAAATGGAGCCCAGGGATGTGTTTTCAAATGCTGTGGGGACACA